CTGAAGCTTGGTTTCCCTCAGTTCTGAAGAGGGGGCAAGCTCAAAAGCACCCCTCTCCGCCTGGCTGCTGGTGCAGAGCATCGCTGCTGCTGATTGTGCAAAAGGGTGTGTTTCCCCTGAAAATTAATAGCAAGTGAATGCATAACCTGGGATCAAAATGAGATTTTTCACTATCACTTTACGTTTTACTGGCTTCTCAGAAATGCTTGAAAGTTGTCTCATGCAGTCACGTACACATTAGCAACTATATTCTGCAGCTAAATTCTTTCACCAAATGACAAGACACAGAGCCAGCTCACAGTTAAGCTCTCCATTTCCTTTAGGCTCTCCTAATGAATTGGGAAATAATGGCTGCAAATATCGTGCAGCTTTGGCTGCACGAGCTTCCTTCACTCTGAAAAGCAGTGTTTATCTGTTTTTCTCTCAGCATATGCTCCAGGAGACCTTTTACATGAACAGCAAAGGCAAATCTTTTACCCCGGTGCCAACAAAGCCAGCACAGCTCAGTGACCCCGACCACGTTAGACCTGCTGACTCTTCTTGCTGCCCAGAAAGCCCCAAGTTCTCTTTGTGCTTTTCATTTCTTTCCTACCAGGTTCCCTCTAGGAGTTTCCACTAAAAAATCCTGAGTATTTAGAACATAATAATTTTTTTTCCTGCTGTTAAGCAGCCCAATACACAACACATTTTAGAGGGAAAGATGGAGGGGTGTTTTCTTTCCTGACAGGGTTTCACGGACAGTAACAGAGCGGACAGAGATGCAGGCACTTCTGCTGCCAACTCATTACAACACCTACAAGAATTCAATACAAAGTGTGCTCCAAATTACAGCTCGGACAGCTGGCAAGTATTTGGCATGCCTGCTCGCATGCAGCCTTCAAATAAAAATAGAAGAACCCTTCTAGTCTGAACAGTGCCACCATTTAAAAAGAGTGGGCACAAGACTGGAGAGTACGCACACCATGCCCTAAAAATTACACCGTTCCTATCAAGCAGAGAACTTGGCAGACATGGTCCACCCTCTTCGCCAGAGCATGTTTTTGTTTAGCAATCGCTAGTGAGCTTCATGTAATTTCTGCAGTTACTCATAACTTACCTTCCAGTAAGTGATGGATGCACATTCTGCAAACGACAGTGCTGCAAGAGCCAGCGTCAGAGCCGCTGATGCATTAGCAGTTCCCTCATGCCCTGCTTCTAAGCGGTCCCCTGAAACCTCAACTCTCTGGGAAGTCTAACCCCCACCCCAGTTTTGGTTCACTGATGTTTACAGTCCATTACTGGCATAAAGCATTCACAACCACACTCTTACATATGTACTCTGAAGGCTTTTTCTTTCACTATGCAAAAAGCAGAGGTTAAGGAAGTAACACTGCGTATAGCAGAGAAATAAAATCTGGTTTAAGTTAGAGGAACAGGCTAAAAATGCCTCATTTTTCTTGCTTAGCAAATCCTGGCACTCTGTACTGATGGTTCTCCAGTAACTGGTGGTAGTTACTCAACAGCAGAATTTTCAGCTAAATTCTGCTGTTTCACCAACTATTTCTAAAAAGAACAACCTGGACAATAAGCAATGCTGCTTAAAACACTCTGTTAAAGAGATTTTGCTGGGAAATTTTGAAGCTTTGATTATAGTTGCTTTCACAGATATTTTCTCATAGTGTTCACTTCAAAAAAACCCCACTGAAAATACTTTCCCTTAAAGTACATCACGCAATGTATTAGTGAACCTCAGTACTGGCAAACACAAGCTAAGCAGCAACATAAAGCATAAAGTTTTCCACACGTGCTGGTTTGAACAAGAAACAGAGAAGGCAGAGACCTCGGCGACAGCCACCTCTGGGCTTTACAGCCTGGCTTCGACACAGCCCGGCTGCGTAAACCAAGGGGCACCAGGAGCATCCAGCTGATGCAGAAATAAAGCAGTGCCTGTGCACGGCCCCGCTTCTCAACTGCCACTGCCTGAGTATCAGTACACGAAAATATACACACCAGGTAACGCGTCCAAGATGCAGACAATGGGGAACAGCGTCGAGGCAGAAGAGTGAACACCCGGCAGCAGCGTTTCCAATCCACAAGACTTCTATTTCTGGGGAGAGGTGCTGCATTTCCTTCCCTAATCCTTCAAATCAAGCTCAGTCTGGCACTTCATTCTCCAAGTAACAGTCTGTCCCAGCAGAGTTTATGTTTAGACTCTGGCATTAACCCTGGCAAATGTGTTTGGAAACCTTCTGTTTCTAGATTTTTTCCATATTCAGCACGCCAGAGATTACTTGGAGGCAGCAGCGCTGGGTACTGGGGAGACCAAGATAACGTACAAATCCTGTTTTTATTGAAGTTCACCACAAAGGCTGAGCTAGGTTTCACATCAGGCACAATAGTAACTTAAATTCTGTATTTTAGAATACAGCCCGTGAATGCATACAGGCGTGTAATAAGGCCTAAAATAGAGATATCCTTTTATTTTACTTTTTTTCATCTCCTTAGAAGAGCTGATGAAAAAGGAGGGCAGAACAAAATTAGAAACGATATAAAAGCATTCTGAAAGCGACTTGATAGCAAACTGCTTTGGCCCTGAATTATTTTGTATAGCTATGACAGTGAATTATCTAAGTACAGGAGGCGATTACTATTAAACATCCAATAGACAAAAAGAATTACCAGTGAAAGGAAAGGTCAGGACGACTGCTGAGCAGAGATAAAACGTTTTCAGAGAAGATTTCTCTCTTCAGGAAGACACACAGGTCAGTAAAGTGCAAAGAACTGTTGTTGCATGGGAAGAGAGGGAGTATTTTTGTCCATGGCTCCTGTTTTCTGCTGATTTCCGAGATTCTTTGGTTGCTTCCAACGAAACTGGGATGCGTACCTACAATTATTACAGCCTTGTACACCCAACACAGAACCTAACACAGGCTTAGCAGGATTTATAGTTTTAAAATTCTAGCAAACAAAATCTAATTTAAAGTTGATCAGTCAAAACAGCTTTTGTTTGTAAGGAAACAATTGAAAAATCTTCAGACTTCTTATTCAGGGGGGACCAGAGCCACAATGCAGGATCAGAGATCAAATGCAGGGACCCGGCTGGGGGATACCACATGCCTATCTGTTCTCCGGCTCTGCTCCGAAAGGCCACGTCTAAGTTTAAATAGTTTTGCCAGTTGGAGCAAACAACAGACTTCATTCTTAAAGACAGCAGGAAATTCCAGACTTTAAAATTCTGCTGTAATGCCAAATTCTTCATTTTTGTGACTTTTTTATGCCTATCCCTGCTTGAAAATAAATTGACATTTTGTAAGTGTTCTACCCCAGTACTTTAAGCATCAGGATCTCAGTTCTAATATTTGTAGACATGATTATCTCCTCCATGATTTAAACCCACACTTTTAAAACACAAAACAAGCCTAAGCAGCCACTCCACCCCACCAGGAACAAGTCCCAGAGGTGGGTATGATCTGCCCAAGAGCAGCAACACGGAGTTGCATCAAACTAGGTGAATGTGGAGGCATTTTCACAGGCAAGACAGGGAAGGATGCTGCGCACGAGCCGCTGCTCCAGCTGGTGGGTGCGAAAGGGCCCCGGGAAGCGACCACTCCTGGAGATCACCAGCTAAAGCAGCAAGTGGAAGGGCACAGAGCAGCGTCTGAGGGACTTTTCTGTTTCTGTTGAATGTTTTTCACTAGCAGTGATTATTGTCTCTATCATCCCATATATCTGCAAAGCTTGGAAAGCATGAAGAACAGTGGAAAATAGGATGCTTAATAAACTAAGTGGTCTAGAAAAGAAAAATTCAACAAATGCAAGTTATTTAGACTGGACTAACCAACTGCACAATACAAAGACAGAAGCTGTCCTACTAAACAAGATGGGTTTTGGGTTTTTTTTGTGGTTTTTTTTTTGTTTGTTTGTTTGTTTGTTTTGGTTTGGGTTTTTTTAAGTACCTAGAGGTTATACTGCATTGCAAATTAAACTCTAGCTGTAGTGACAAAAATCACCACGGGAGGGGTATAGATATGGAAGTGGCCTACAAGCTGCAGGACATGAAACAACCCCTGTGCTCTGCTCAGCATTTCTGGAGATGCAGCCAGAGCCCTGACCCGCTCCGGGACACCGGGGGGGGGGGG